GCCATCAGTCTACTTGGCGATCGACTTCTTGAAGTGCGAGGCCTGCGAGCGGACTCACCCGCCAGCTAGGCCAAAGCCGATCTCCGCGACGATTCGGTACCTGGGTCAGTTCGGCGAACACCTCCAGGCCGACTTCTTTACTATCGTAGACGTCACCAACACGCCGCACCACATGCTCGGTATCACATGCCTCAACACACACCTCCACCGCGTGAAGCGCGTGGTCGACCGCTTCCCAGAGACAGCCGCGTCCGCCTTCCTGGAGGCATGGGTTTTACCGTTCGGCATGCCGATGGCCATCACCGTCGACATGGGCGGCAGCTTCATGGGCTACTTCAAAGAGCGGCTCGAGCCGTACGGGGTCAACGTCTCCTACTGCCCGCTCGACGCGCATTGGCAGATCGGGACCGTCGAGAGGCATGGCGCGTCATGGAGGTGGATCTGGAATCGGACATGCGACGCCTGCGCCGTCAAGACCGCCGAGGAGGTCGACATGACTACCATTGCCGTCAGCGAGGCCAAGAACAATACAGTTCGTCGGGCCGGGCGCTCCGCTAACCAGTGCGCCCTGGGAAGGACTCCTCGTATTCCTGGTGAGTTGCTATCCGACGATCACGGCCTTGCCGTCGCCGCCAACGCCACTAACTCGCAGTACGTGATGAACAGCGACTTCTACCGCATGGAGGCCAACATCCACACGGCCCACTCCTCAGGAAAACCAGCCACTTGCGCTACGACCTTGACAAGCTCGTCGCAGGCCAGCAGGTTGGACGCTGGCGCCGGGACGCCAAGAAGCGCCCCAGCGGCAATTCGTCGCGCCCAGGCTTCGTCATTGGCACGTTCCCACAATGGGGCGGCGGACAACGAGGACACGGACTCGGCCGCAATGCTTGGGTCAGGGCCGGTCAGACCATCAAGCCTTTCAGCCGCGAACAGCTTCGACCAGCCATTGGTTTCGAGCAGTGGGTACCCGATGCCAAGGACATCGAGGTTCCTAAGAGCAGCTACGACCTCATGAAGGACGACCTCTGGGAGGACGAGCGAGACGCCGGGCCCGCGCCCGACGACCTGGCGGAGGAGGCCGACATCTTCGTCGACGACGGCCGCAACTTTCTTCCAAGCCGCGAAGGACTTCTGCCTCCACAGCCTGCCGATGCCGATCTTCCTGGAGCTCGGCCTGCCCCAGTCGAACCGCCACCGGCCGCGGCGGCCCCGCCTCAGCCAGAGGCGACTCCGTCCGAGCCGACGCCGGTCGAGACCGAGGTCCCACGCACGATCCCTATGGACGCGGAGGTCACCCAGGCCGCTGACTCCGTCTCCGCAGAGCCGAACACGATCGAGATCGATCTGAAGGTCAGCACCCCCAGGTCGCCTCGCAGCCGAGCCGCCGAACACGAAGTCCCTCCAGAAGCCGACCCTCCAGACGAGAAGAGGCCCCGCGCGTCTACCTTGTACGCCCAGCTGACGCCTTTCTGGGCCGCCGAGGTCGGGGACGGCGCTGACGGCTCCGACGAGATGCCCGCCGCGTTCGCCAACGTCAGCCGCTACGCCGACTACGCGGACGAGATCGAGATCACCTACCAGGTGAACGCCATCGTTGCCGACGACGGGCCCAAGCTCCCCCTGGTGCCCGACTCCGAGGACGACGAGCCTGCCGACCAGAACCAGCCCACCATGACGAGTGCCGAGCGGAAGGCCTACGACCGCGAGATACCTTGGCGCGAGATCATGAGCACGGACGGCTCCACCATCCAGAGCCTCCTGCAGGCCACGCGCAAGGAGTACAGCAACTGGGTCAAGTGGGCGCCGATGGTCGCAGTGCCAGACGACGTCGCCAAGGACATGCTCAACTCGCCCGAGATCCGCAAGAGCTGCATCCGGGCGCGATGCTGCTATCGTGACAGGAACTGCGGCCAAGGAGAGCTTGCTGCGAAATGCCGGGGAGTCGCCGTCGGTTGCAGCGACCCGAGGCTCGAGGCGCTCGAGCGGAGGTCTCCCACTACGCAGCGCATCAGCTTCTTCACGGCATGCCAGATCCTCGCCAGCATGAAGATCTACGACCCAGAGGGCAACTGGACCGCCTTTGGCGGCGACCTCGAGAACAGCTTCTTCCAGGGCAGCCGCGAGAGGGAGGACAAGGTCTACCTCATTCCGCCCCGTGACCCACTGGTCATCGCCACTGGCTCCTGGCCAGATACGTTGTACGAGGTGACCGGCAACATCTACGGTTTCGCCGACGCCCCACTGGTGTTGTGTCGTCACATTCGACGCAAGATGTACGATTTGGATTTCGTGAGCCATAGCCTGGACGCGATGTGTTTTCTGAAGTTCGATAAGGGATGTTTATTGGCCATCGTTTTGTGGTACGTCGACGACATGTTCGCCGTATACGCCAAGAGCCGTTTCGATGTCCCCCAGCTGGAGAAGGTTTTCGCGCGGGGCAAGCTCGTGCATTTGCCTCAGGAGCACGTGCGGCGCGGGCGTGAGATCAACCGGTACCACGACGGCCGAGTCGTCATCACTCAGAAGGAGTACGTCAAGGGTTTAGAGGTTCGCCGCGTCCCATCCAGCCGCATCCGAGAGGGAGGGTCCCTTACACCCGCAGAACGGACCGAGATGCGGAGCTATATCGGAAGCGGTTAGTGGATTTCGGGTATATGTCGTCCGGATGTTTCGTCATATGTATCGTTGTTGCAGAGCGAGGACCCCCAGATTTCCGATCTTAAGGCGATGTGCAAAACCATAGAGCACCTGAAGAACACGCCAGAGGTTGGGATTACGATGACGCCGTCACAGTTGTTTAACGATTCCCGAGATATCGATATGATTACGGTTGCATACGGTGACTCGAGCTGGGCCAACGCGCAGCAGATGAAGAGCCAGACCGGAGCGATGATCGTTTGGGCCAATCGAGACGCACTCTCCGGGTCAGCACCTGCCTCGTTGGCCGATTGAAGGAGCGTGAGGACACAACGTCAGGTGAGGTCCACCTTGTCAGCGGAGGCTTGTGCCGCTGACGCAGCCGTTGATCGAGGATGTTATGCTTCTGTGTTTTTTGTCCGAGGTTTTAACAGGCCGTTCATATATAGCCAAACGCATGGCTGATCGCACGCCGCCTAGTGTGCCGCTTTATGTTATCACGGATTGTAAGAGTTTGTACGACTGTGTTACTAAAGAGAACCCCAGCTTGGATGAAAAGCGGGCGCTTCTCGATGTGCTTTCTATCCAGACCAGTCTCGGTCTAGGTTCGATGAGGCGTGTCCCAATTTCTAGCATGATAGCCGACCCTCTCACGAAAGTGTCCGATCAGTTGCGCGACAGTTTAGTTCAGTGGCTTCGCGAGCCGGCCATCGAATTGTTCGGGGCCGTTGCCGAATCAGTCTCAGTTTTTGCGTGATTTCTATTTCTGCCGTCAGACGTCTCCCGGAGTTTTCAGCCAACAGAAGAGAGAGAGAGAGAGAGAGAGAGAGAGAGAGAGAGAGAGAGAGAAAGAAAGAGAGAGAGAGAGAGACCAGTCTGAAACAGTAACTGTTTTAGCATGCCAGCCGTGTCTGCAAACTCCCACTAGACACCATTTAGCCTCGAGAGGCCCCGAGTGCGTTTCAGCTTCTATTATTGCGATCACTGTTACTGTTTTGCAGTTTCAGCTTGCATAGTTGCCCCTCTCAGGTTTGCGCCGTTGCATGGCCGTTTCGCTCAAACCAGCTTGAGGGCCCCCTCTTGTAGAGCCGCCAGCCGGCGACACCAGACAGATAACTCAACATATACAGATCCACAGGCAAGCATAGCACACAGCAGTCAGATCAGCGATCTGAGATTGCCGGGCTCGAGGCCCGAATCATTATTCCGCTCCCGCTGGGAGCTACATGCGCAGGACTGCAGGCCGTGGCCACGCTCCGCTCGCGGCAGTGAAAACAAGTCCGATCGCACTGGGGCCCCTTAGCGCCTCGTGGGTGGTATCTTTTTGGGCCTCTCGGAGGCCTCGTACGGCGCGTCTTGGGCGCCCCCGGGGGCCTCTCAGGGGCCTCTCGGGGCCTCTTGGGGCGGCCTCCTGAGGCCACCCAGGGGGGCTTCCCGTGGCCCCTTGCTCGGGGGACCCTCTTGGGGGGCCTTCCTGCGGCCCTCTCTTGGGCCGTCTGGAGCGCTCTTTTGGGCCCTCTTGGAGCCCTCTTGTGGGCAGCCTTGGGGCCCCTCCTGGAGGCCTTTGGGGCTCTCCTGGGGCGGTCTTGTGATCTTCTTGCGCCGTCTTGGAGCGCCGGAACCCTTTTGGAGCGCGCTTGGGACCTCTTGGGCCGTCTTGGAGCACTTGAAACAATTTTCGGGCGTCTTGGAGCACTCTTGGCCTCGGCAGTGCGACTTTGGCGTAGTTTGTAAGGGGTTGGTGGCCTCGGGGACGCGACTATTGCGTAAGCTACAATGGATTATGTATGGCCTCGGGGCCGCCAGTCTCATGTATTTTTATATGTCCCGTGGCCCCCCGGGAATTCAGAGCACGCGATCTGGGCGTGGTAACCGGGCGGTTTGGGGTTCCCCCGCCTCGGATGGATTTCAACAGTTTACAACAATATACAGAAAGCGGGACTCTAACATTGGAGACTTGAAACTGCAACTGGTGCAGGGAGCAGCACCCCTCGTCCTACAGCCTGGTGGCCCCATAAGGGGGCCGGCGGATTATAATAAGGCGCTTGCGCAGTTTCGTGCACACGCGCATTAAAACCCAATCGCCTAGATCAGATTCGACATCCAACGGCGTTGTTCCTTTCCGGAGTGGCAATGTCAGACGGGGGTTGCACCTTCCAAGTCGCCACCTGTGTGTGTGACCATGTTTGTCCGTACTTACCAGCGCGTGTATTCGTGCATGCAATAACGTGCACACACGCTTGTAATGGGGGACCAGCATGCGTATGCACATGTGTGTGAGTTCATGTGGTTGTGTGCGACCGTTGCCTCTATCTCAAGCAGTTCCAGTTTGAGGTGGGGCTAAAACAACAGCTGGAACCATGCCGCTCGCGCGCTTGCTCGGCGACCGCCTGCTGCAGACGGTGGGGCAGGCTGCCATACCGACCGTGGAAGCTTTGGCCGGCGCCTCTGCGGTCGGCCTCTACTTCTCTGCGAGCTGGTGTCCTCCGTGCCGTGGTTTCACGCCGCAGTTAAAAGCTTCGTATGCGGGGCATCTGGAGGCGAAGGGAATGCGCTGCGTGCTAATCTCCAGCGACCGCGATGAGAGCAGCTTCGACGAGTACTTTGGTAGCATGCCTTGGCTCGCGCTCCCATACGCCGAGCGACCACGGAAAGAGGCGCTCAGCGCGTACTTTGGAGTGCAGACGATCCCTACGCTTGCCATGGTGGACGCCCAGGGGCGCATTCTGACCACCGAAGCGCGAAATGCTGTGGTGGCGGATCCAGAGGGTTCTCAGTACCCGTGGGCGGATCCGCCCTTCAAGGACCTGGCATCGGGGGAGGTGGGCCGCATCAACACCGCGCCGTCCGTGGTGCTCCTCTGCGAGGGCCCCGATGCCGAGGCCAAGAGGCTCGCTGGCCTTGCGCTCGGGGAGGCGGCCGCACGCTCGCCGGACTGCCAGCCCCCGTGGGAGTCGAGGGGGGGCGGAGCCTTTGACCTTGGGCCCGGCCAGGGCTACGCCTTCTTCGTGGCGACGGGCGGGGAGATCGCCGCCAAGGTGCGGCAGATGGCGGGGCTCCCGGCCCTGGAGGCCAGGAGTGGAACCCCTGGGAGGTCCAGTTGGGCATCGGCGCTGTTAGATCCGTGCGGGCCCCCATCCCGCTCCATCAGGCATGGCCCTGTGTTCGGCCTGGCTCCATCCGGCTTGAACCTGGGCCTGGGCTTGCCACTGGGCTGGTCCAGCCTCTTGGCCCCTCCGTCTGGCTCCAATCGGACGGGGCTGGGACGAGGATACAGCCGTTCCAGAGCGTTCGGGAACGCTCTCATGGAACGCTCTGAGAAAACCGCGGTGCCCGAGACATCCTCCGGAGCCGCCGGATCTCAGAGGTTCTCGAGTTACCCTCGCCCGAATTGATCCTCATTGCGTGGCTTCGTCTGACCCATGGCCACGACTCGCTCTCTTGCGAAGGTCTCCCAGGAGTTGCCTCCTCGTGGAGGCCGACGGGGCCCCCAGGCTGCTGCTGCTGGACATCCCAGACGGCGGCGCCTTCTACCTGGGCCCGGAGGGGGCGGAGGCTCTGACCGCGGGCGCGGTGGACGAGCTTCTGGCGGGCCACGCGGCGGGGCGGCTGCAGCGGCGGCAGCTGAGCTGAGGCGGCGGCCTCGCGCCGCGGCCGGGTGGGCTCCTGCTTCGGCCGCGCGCCCGCGCCCGGTGTGCAGAGAGATGGAGAGGGAGAGGAAGAGCGAGATACCCTGACCCCTCGCGTCGCGATCGAATCGCGACGGGAGTTTTTTTTCTTGTTTTCGGCCTCCGGGGACCCTCGCGGGACCCAGGGCCGTCGAAAAAGCAACTCGGGAGAAGGAGCTGGTCCTGGGGAGTGGGTCGAGATTTCCAGGCGTCGACGTGAAGAAAACAACCATCACGTCTGGGATCTGGGGAGCGAGAGAGAAGCCTGGCTGGCTTTTGGTGTGACGTATATTTCGGCAGAAGACAAATCATTGAACGGTCTCGTCCTCCCTTCAACCCCCAGGAGGGCTCGCAGGATAGGAAGCGATTCGCTGCGCCTTCTCGGCCCCTTCTCGGTGCCCGGAGGTCCAGCCAGCGCCTGCGGCGCCGCGTGGTTCCGGCGCGCAACCTGCAGATCCTGAACCGAGCAAACGACCTGCCTCTGCTAGTGGGGGAGCCGTTCATTCAGACGGCCCAGCGCCGTGCTCAGCCAGCTAGCGGGCCCTGCCCTTCCCAAATCCCATCCCCCTCTTCCACCATCCCCGCCCATCCCTCCCGTCGCTGCCAATCCCCCACCCTCCATCTCCTCTCAGGCCCCTCCCGTCCCTCCCCACCCATCCTCCATCCTCCCCTCTCCTCGCCTTCCCCTCCCTCTCATCCCCCCTCCCCGTGTCCCCCCCCCCCCATCCCTTCACCCAGCCGTCCCTTTCCCCGGCCTCCATGGCTCGCCATAAGGCTGCCCATGGTGCACCACGCGCCGGCGCGCCGCCGGAGAGGCGGCGCCTCGGGGTGCCGTCGGGCCCGCTTTTCCAGCACCGATCGCTCGATTGGAATTTTGGCGGTCAGGCCAGGGCTGCACCAGCCGCTGGTGGTCTTCTGGAGGCTGTTTCTGCTTCGGACTCGGGCAGGTGTGCCTGCACGGAATTCCCCCCTCCGCACCCCCACCCTCCGCCGCCTCTTCTGACAGCGCCGGGCCGAAACGGCGCGCAAGTCCATCCCAGTTTGCGTGAAGCCCAGTTTTCTTCTCGGGACTCGCCACGCCCTCTACACCCCTCCACGCAAGAAAACTGACCGTGATCTGAGCAAAAACGACCTCCTGGCGACGGAGGGCACGGAGGCATGCGCCGCCGCGAAGGAAGCGGGTCCTGAGGGAAGCGGGCCTTCCGGCTTCTTGACGCTCTCGGCCACCCTGGCCCTCCATGGGCCCCAGGGTTGTCTGACAACGACTCAGGGCGAACAGCTGGTCGTGTGGAAGAAAGGCCCTGGGGCTCAGGACCCGTATCCCTCGTGACCCGCCATAGGAGGCACCGGTAAGGCCAGCCACGTGCCAGACATTCACACTCGCACCTGTACACACACACATCCTTTCTAGCCGCATCGCGCCGCTTTGGAAGCTGGTTCCTGCTTCAGTAGCTTTCCTCTTGCCGTCGGTGTTGCTGCTCCTCTGGCTCGACATGGTTGGCTGCCTTGGGCTGGGCAAGCATTCCTGACCCTCGACAGCTTCACCGATACGCGTCTACCGGAGAGTACAGATTCAGGGTATCATGCAATGCGTCTCGGTGGATTGTTCAACAATGTCGTACAGATGTGGCTGCTCTACCTTGCCACCTCCTCCGGTTCCAAGGCGGAGTTCGGAATCTGGAGACCCCCGGCTGGGCAGCCCCAGGTTCCGAGAACCGCAGTGCGCAGGCATCATGGGGTGACTTTTGGGCCCGGGCCGCTACACCGCTAACGGTCGGACCGAGGTAACAGATCGAGGACGGCTCTCGTGTCTGCTGGGTGTTGTTGTGCATCATGGGGGGAGGGCACCCTCGAAGCTCCCTATTGGGGCCCCATCCATACTGGGCCCCAGGATTGGCTCAGTACTGGGTCCTCGGATGGCTGTAGGCCCCACCGGGAGCTCCACCGGAGGCCCCAGCTTGGCCAGCGGAGGGTCTCTTTCTCTCGACTGGTGCTCCCCTGCCCCCGGCCTGGCCGTGCACCGAGGCAGCAGGCACGGCAGATGAGAGGCCGGCCTGCCGGCAGGTGCCCCGCGGAAGTTGCCTACTCCCGCGCGGAGCAGGGGGGGCGACAGAAGGCCTGGAGCACCTCTGGACTCAGGAGGGGAAAAAACACACAGACACAATTAATCGTCGATCCCCAGGAAAATATGGGAAAATATGGGAAGTGGTGGGGAAGACAAAAACCCAGAAAATATATGAAAATATGGGACATCTTTTTATTTGTGTGTATTTATTTGTGTGTCCCAGTTTCCCTTCATGGACCCGCAGTGATCGACGAAGGGCGTGCCCAAACAGTCCTCATGGCAACACAGTCGGGGCGCCGAAGAAGGAGCCCTTTTCGTTGGGGAGGGGCTCGGTGTTCCTTGATCGTTCTACAGCTTGCCTTCTGTTTCCTGAGGTTTTCCATGGGAAATCGAAACTCAACTTCTGGAGAAAAGGGGCCTCGTTCCTTAGTTAGGGTTCCTTAGGTCAGCGCCCCGGCTGTACTCCTCGTCCGATGTGTCTACTGTATGCCACCCAGGGGAGCGGCTCGCCCGAGACGGTGCACCGATGCACCAGCTCAGCGGATCGTCGCGCCCGGGCCGGCACGCCGATCCACCGAGCCACCGCGTATCGGCGTGCCCGAGCCGATACACCGACATACCGTCGATGATGGTATGGACGAGAGCGATGGGGCGGGGTGGAGACACACCTGGAGACAGGGGGGATTTCTCGGAATGATCCGGGTGAGGAGAAGGAGGAGGAGCAGGATGACGAGGAGGAAGGGGAGCAGGGAAGCGAGCTAATGGAGGGATGAGGTATGAGGGACGATGAGAAGAGGAAGAGGACGGCATACATGAGGTGGAGAGGGGGGATCGGCGGAGCTCGAGGATATGCAGCTGCGATGCCGCGGTGGGCGGAGCGCCTTGGGGGGGGAAGGGGTGAGGGTCTACGAACCACCCCTTCCCGAAGCTGTGTGTTTGAAACAAATGTTTCCTGGAAAGCCAAAAACGCATGGGCTTGGCCAGAACAGTGAACGCAGCTTGGCCTCGATGCGTCGGGGGGGGCCTGAGGTGGGCAGGCGGGGTGGGCGGAGCTCGAGGACATGTTCATGACGTGAGGAGACAGTGCTGCAGGTTGTCCTGGCGCTCCGTCGGGCAAGTGGTTCAGAAACCCCAGATGCCGCTGCCGACCGTCTCGCCTCGGGTTCGGCGCCCCTGGGGTGCTTCGGATATCTCCCCTCCCCTCGCGCGGAAGGGGGATGTGGATGAGGTGGATGTTGAGGAGGAAGAGGAGGAGGAGGAGGAGGAGGAGGAGGAGGTTGAGGATTAGTGCAAACCCAAGACCCGTCAACGATATTGCAAGTCATCCTCCCTTCAAGTTCCCTCCTCACGGGCCCCTGCAAGGGTTCATTCTTACTGCAGGAGGTGCCCCCGTTGGAAGACAACCGTTTGAAAATCTTTCACTGTGCCAGAAAACCATTCCAGGGACTTCAACGCCGCGAGTCACTTGTACTGTTACGTCTTGACGATCCTGAATCGCGCCAGAATGCCAATCCTGGGACTTCAATATCACGCATAGGCGCCCTGACAATCCGACATGTGTTGCCAAAGCGCAATTCCCGGGACGTTAACCATGCGAATTCTTGAAGCAGTTGTAGTCTTTTACCACGAATGGGCGCAGTGCAAAGGCGAGAGCCTCATATTGAGAAGGAGCCGCCCTCCATCCGTGAAATTCTTGCAGTGCTTGAAGACGAATGTACGCGGCGCTGGGGCGAGAGCCACATTTTGCAAACGACCCGCCCTCCATCCGTGAAGCGCTTGCCAGTGCTTGAGAGATATGCGCGCGGCGAGAAGGCGAGAGCTTCATTTTGATAAACGGCACGCCCTCCATCCGCGAAGCTCCTGTAATCTGTTGAAGCGGACGTGCGGACTGCTGAGGCGAGAGCCCCACTCTGAAAACGGCCCGCCTTCAGTCCGCGAACTCAGCATGGCCCGCCTTCCATCCTCGAAAATGGCCCGCCTTAATTGATCGAATCCAGCTCTGGTTTAGGGTTTAGGGTTTAGGGTTTAGGGTTTAGGGTTTAGGGTTTAGAAACGACCGGTCCGCCCTTTCGGCCAGCCTCGGCGCGCGACGGGGAGGAGCTACTGGGGTGGGAAGCGAATGGGGGAGGAGGGATGTGCAGAAGGGGAGGGAGGCAGAACCAGGGGTGGGCGGTGCTCGTGTCGCCACGGGTCCCCACCCCCGCATGCTGCAGCTCAGAGCTTGCAGAAAGAGGAGGAGGAGGAGGAGGAGGAGGAGGAGGAGGACCAGAGTAAACCGAAGAGGCATGAGCGATGCTTCAACACACCCTCCAGTCCCAAGTCCCCTCATTTCTTGGTCAATCACGACTGTGAGCAGCATCGCAAATTTGACATTGACGTCGCGCCATTGTCTGACTTGCACTTCTGTAACTTAGCGCGCGTTGGTGAAATTTGGCGCGACGCGGGCAACGTCGTACAGTACGTCCCTGAGCAGCCGCTTCGAGACCATGGGCAGGACGCTGCGCAGCAACACTCCGACTACAATTCTGGCTCTGATACCACCTTCAGTTTCGGCGAATTGTCATATTTCACGTGCGATGTCGGTTTCGAACTCATGCTTCAGTTCCAGTTTCGACCATTGGAATCAACGAAAGCAGGCGGGTCGACGCACTGTGGGTATCGACAACCGTGCAGGACGATTTAGCCAGGATCTTCCACATATTCCATGCCGACGGAGGTGAACACCGCGCAGCTACCCAGCCACACGGATCGTTGCAGGGCCACGGTCTTAACAGCCACACGCTGCGGAATTAGTTCGGCCCCGACGTTCTCAAGGGTTACACCTCTGAGTCGCACTTCGTGGTCCCGCAGGGAGAAAGATGATGAGCTGGCTCACGACTTCGGCGATCAACTGCGACACG